TCATGACTTCCGGGGCCTGGGCTCGAGCAAACATTGCGGCCTTGCCTCGGGACTTACGCGGGCTCCACGTGGCACGCCGCGTGGGGAAGAGGGCGCTCACACGCGGGCGCACGTGGGGAACTTCGCGCAGACGTCCGCGAACGTCTCGTTCCTGGCGCTGGTCCTCGAGTTCGGCCACTTGGAGCCCGCTATCGGGCCTCGGTGCCCAGCGCTGTTCCTCGATGTCGGCCTCGTGCAACAGTTTCGGGCCCAGGGGCCATCAACAAATGTCCCAAGCGCAATCCATCCCTTTTGGGGGGGGGCAGAAGCCCTCGGGGCACTGACACAGTCTGATTGGAGGATGTTTGGGGCGGCCGTCGTCGCAGTAACTCTTCCACTACCTGAATATGCTGTTGTTCCTCCTCCCCCTCCTCCTCCTCCTCCATCCCATTTCCTTGTGATCGCCTCGTCCCTGTTTCGCGCCCGATCCAAGCTTCCAACGGCTACACGGATAGAAGGGAGGTCTTTGCCAAAACGGATATTACACAACAGATCCGCCACCTTGCCACAGGCAATGAATGGAGCGTCGCCAGGCCCATAATAATACCCAACCATCAGTTCTGAATCTGCGGCGTGCCCGCAAGGAGCCCCAACCCCCCGAAGTCCAATGCTTTCTTGGGTGTCTAGCAGACTTCCTGGAACGCCCCGCGGTTCTTTCGCAAGGGGCCTAAGTTCGCGCGCCAAGATTGTCGCATGGACCGCCCAGGAGCCCTCCTAGTGCTGTCCTGAAACCTCTGGATGTGGCAGACAAACAGACATTGTGTAATCTGCGAGAAACGTGTATGACTCTAGCATTCTCGCAGCTTCGGTATTAGAAACGTCCAAGACGGCCCGAGAGGCTGAACATCGACGCGATACGGCCCATGAGCCCCCAAGAGGTGCCCAAGGCCCAAGGGGGCGCCCAAATGGCTCCAAGAACGGGAATGCGGACTGACATTTCGAGCCCTCTACTCAAACATGGCCGAATTAGATTCACTGAAGCCCCTGGGGCGTTCCCAGGAGGTCACGGAAAGCCTCCAAAAGGCCCCGAAGAAGGCACCAGGAACCCCCCCCCAGAGGCCTCATCCTCCCCGTCATCTCATCCTCCCCATGCCCATCTGGTCCCTCCCCCTCCTCATCATGCCCCCCCTCCTCGTCATTCTCATGCAACCTTCTGCCACTGCGTGATGTTCCTACTCGTCCTATTCCGCCCGACGCGCCCCCCCCTCATCTGGGCCCTCGCCATCCCTCCTCCCTCCTCATACGGCAATGCTCAGTTCATTCCTCCTCCTTCTGCCCCCCCCCCGCTGTCCTTGTCCTCGTGAAGCTGACGCCGAGGCCGCAGTTACTCCTAGGCCCATTTTGCCAACTCTTTCCATCCTCCCTCGTTCATCCCCCCGCCCCGTCGCCACCCCTTCTCTCGCACCGTTTCCCTCCCATACCGCATCATCCCCAGACACCCGCGCCGTCCCCAGACACCCTCCCAAACCACGGATCCCGTCGTGATCTTCGGACCCCCTCCACCCAGTGACAACTCCAGCGAGTAGCACGCAGCACGTGCACACTTGGACGAAAGAACTGTGTACTTCGCCCGTGCGCAACGCCCACCGTGGGCGAGCCGAGAGAAACGCGACAGATCCCGCCCAGTCACCACCACCCGCGAGAAGACCACTCCAAAAAAACCCGGATGGGCGCACGATTTGCGTACACGGATATCACAATGATCTGTGCCAACGGTAAACCCACACGCGCAAATCCACAGTTGAAGACACGAAGTGTGTGGTAAGAGCTCGCCACCTCGAAGGTAGTCTTACTGTGCCAAGCCAGAACCAAAGCCAGCAGCTCCAGCGATGGGGGCTTGCGAACACACACGCACACACAATTCCCTGGCCCAGGGCGGCCCCCAGGGACTGAAAATACACGCATCCCTGACACAAGGCGGCCACCGTGGAACGCAGCACCAAGGCTGCCCCCAACGGCACCAAGACGTCCCGAGAGGGCCACCCCGAAAGACCCCCCCAGAAGGTCCGAAGCCAGTCCGACAACACGACGAATGCCACATGTGACGGGCGTCTACGCATAGCTCGAATCAAGCACAGCTCGAAACGTCGCCGTACAGACCGCTGCGCTGGCACGGTGGCGGACCTCGCCGCGGGCATCAAGAGCTGTTCATGTCAACGATACGACTATGTTTGGCGGCCGTTGCCACCCGCGCTTGGACTGCACCCCGAACGTTTACATCGGCCGCGCCCTCTGTTTGGCTGGTTCACTGTGCTCGGACATCGAAAGGGCGGATGATGCGAGCGCGGGCGCGTGGCCTCATCACTTGCCTTTCTTGGAGCAAGGAAAGAGGACCAGGTGGTACGACAGATGGTGTAGCAGGGATGCAAAAAAGGGGGAGCGATGAAGGCATCCGAAGAGGCCCAATCGGAGGACCGCAAGATGGCCCTGAGAGGGCCCCAAGGCGGTCCAAGAGACCTCCAAGGCGCCCAAGATGGGCTTTAAGACTGCACCGAAGTGACCAAAAGCTCCAAGACGACCAAGAGTGGCCCCCAAGACAGCTCCCGACGGCGTCAGACGGGCCACGAACACCCTAAGACGACCAAAGTGGCCCCCAAGCAGAGACCCAAGGAGGCCCCGAAGAGGCCCCCAGAAACCTCACCGGAGACCCCAAGAGTGCCCCAAAAGGCTCGCAAAAGGCCTTCCGCCTTGTTACTCGTCCCCTCCTCTTTGTCGTTCTCCTCCGTGAGTTCCCCGAATGGTTTCCACAACGGCTGGGGGAACACAAAGTCCGATAGCTCGGCCGAGTTCGGGCCACAACGTTGGGCCACATATGCGCTTCCACAACGCAGAGGGCGGAGGTGATTCGCCATAGGAGTCTTCGATCCGTCGCCCCCTTCTGGTTGCAAACCGGCGGTCGGCGTGCCAAACGCAAGAGCTTTTTTGGGCCTGTGCGAATACTTCAACACTGGCGCTCTTGGCCCGTCGGACGCTTCTGGACGCCATATTGGGGGCCTCCCCAACCCGACTTGAAGGCCTCTTGAGGGGGTGCATGTTTGTAAGTTTCCAAGGCAGCCTCAGTGCACGATGCAAGCCGCTTCCATGCGCACATCAACAACTAAGGCGGGAGGCCAGCAGCTTAGTGGGTTCGTGTTCTCCACACCGCAACCGCACCTCATCCTTGTCCTTGTCCTCTGCCTCTGCTGCCCCCTCATAATCATCACTCCAAGGGATGCTCTTCAAAGCGACCAGCGCGTCCGACCGCTGAGAAATCGCGGGCGATTGAAACCACCCCGACAACAACTCACGTCCAGACGGGGGGAGGAGGCGCAGCAGGAGTAAGAAACCGAACAGGAAGAGAAAGCAACAAGTGGACCAGAAGCCGCACTCCTGACGAATCCGCTGGTGCGTACCGCTCGCAGGAACCTCCACCACTCGGGCACCAGATTTCAAACGAGGCATCGCGCTCACGGCGTGCCTTCCGCGACGTCGCTGCACCCATGCGGGCGTGTGCACCCAGCCAAGCACTTGCCATAAACCTGGCATGTCCGAGGTGCTTGATGGAAGTATTCAAAAAAAGGTCTGTTGCCACCTCCCGCATGCACCCACATAGAGCATGAACTCTCTCTCCTCCTCGGGCTGCCCAGCGGGCGTGATTCACGAGATCGCCAATTCACCCAACTATTGAAAATCTGGCGATGCTGAACGCCGCACGTCCCCCACAAGTACACGCGGGAGGGCCAAAGTAGGAGGAGAGAGAGAGAGAGAGGGAGCGAGAACGAGAAACATAGAGAGAGAGAGAGAGAGAGTAGGAAAGAGAAGGGGAGTGGACACCTGATCATTGCCCAATGCCCAACTTTGGGGTCAAGCTTAATGAACACCAGTAGCGGCCAAGAGCGCAGAGAGTCTTCCTGCGATAGAAAAACTCAACAACGCACGGCCAGCCGGCGAACGACGAGCGAGCAAAACGAGAAAGAGGAGGAACATGGTAACGCGACTTGCCACGAAGTACATTAGCCACTGCCACGTGAAGATACAGTACAATTTGACTGCGATCTGCCACGCCGTGGCCGAAGATATTGAGCGGGGTAGGCTTCAACCCCACCAGCTGCTGCGCAAGCGTGCTGGGGCCTCGAGAGGTGGGTGCACGAGGGCGGCGGCGCCTCCGCCGCGCACGCCCTAGGGCACCGGGGCCGGACTGGGGTGGTGGCGCGCCCTCCGGGCTCGGGCTGGTGGCCTGGCGGCGCGAGCCGACAGGTTTATACTCATGTGCATCGCTGGATTCGACCCTTCCCAAGAGATGGATACCTCGAGCGAGCTCCTCACAGACGGACGCGACGCTCGGCCGTCGCTCTGGCCACACCCGCGTGCAACGCTCCACCGGCGCGGTGCACCAACGCTGCAAACTCTGGAGGTCCCTGCGGCCGTCAGGCCACGAAGAGAAGGGCGGCCGCTTCCGTGCCCTCCTCCAGGGCACCTTGTTGGTACGAACGCCCTGGAAGGGCAACCTCCCCGCCGCGAGGAAGACCATCCGCAGGCCGACCGAAAACACGTCCGCCAGCCCGTCAGGTCGATCACCGAAATTCTCGAACAGCTCGGGAGCCCTCCACCGCGAGGTGCCACCGAGCGGTGCCGCCGATCGAGTGAGCAGGCGAGCGAGGCCGAAGTCCAGCAACTTCGCGCGCGCCGCGGTGCAACCGTCGAGGCAATGCTGCTGCATGGGAGTGTGGGAGTCATTCAAGTCGCCATGGACCTGTCGGGGTCCGCAAGTGCAAATAACGCAGCGCGTTCAGAATGTCGAACACGATCCATGCTCGGTCATTGATGGTGTCGGTAATGCTGCGGGGTTGGCGCGTCAGAGATTCTCCGCCGCTATCGCCGATGGAAGGTCAGGGCGCTTGGATGAAGTGCCGCAGGAGCAAGCCGTCCACAAGTTCGGGCACGAGGCAGAGTCGCACGGAGGAAGATGGTGTCGGGGCAAACTAGGCAGAATCGCATGAGGCAGTGTACTCGCCCATGATGGCGCCATAGAGGAGGACAATGTTGGGGTGCCGAAGCCGGCGAAAGATCCGTAGCTCGTTGCAGAGCGAAGGGAGGCTCCCGTGCACGAGGTTCGTTTGGATGTCCTGCATGGGCGCCTTCAGAGCCACGATCGTGTTGTGGTAAAGCCCTTCGACCACGACGACGAGCCCGCCCGTGCCGAGACCTCGGCCTGGCAGTGCATTGACCTCGGCGTCTTCGATCAGCCACTGCTCTCTGACACCGATGGCACGCATCTCTGCCAAGCTGCCGAACTGGTTCATCTCGAAGGCGAGCGCAATCGATGGGCGGGATCCAACTGCAGAGCCCTCCCTGCCGTTTTGCGGACTGGTCGAATCCTGCTGCGTGGCGAGCTCGTGTTCGGCCTCGAACCTCAGTTCTTTCTCTACCAACAGGCCCTTGAAGAGGAGTCTGTCCTGTAACTGACTCTGCTGCTTTCCAGAGGCCGCCAAGACGGCTACTACAAAACATACCGAACAACTCGGGACCGCTTTTGGAGCGGAGCTGCACAACATAGATAGGCAACTCGAACACGATCACCACCGCCACATCCAGGGTGACCAGGGATGTCCAACGGATTGGAACCAAATGCCCGCATGACACGCACAGAGTCATGATGAGTACGTTCAGGCCGTTCAAGTCCACATATCCGAGGTCGTGGCTCCAAACTGCCTCTGGGACTTGGTACCCTGACATTCTCAAGAGGTAATGGCTGCTGACACCAATCGTCACCAACATAATGAGCGCACCCGCCGCAAACGCGCTCAACTCCATGTACAAAATCCAAATGCGGGATGGCATGTGGCTGCGCTCTAGCACTATTGCCACGAGCAACAACCAACGCGGCCATTCCGCGGAACATCCCCCGCCTGCCGCTTGCCAGCGCAAATAGCCTCATCTGTGAGATATTGGTCATGGGTCCAGAAGGGAATGTGCCAAACAAGCACAGGCGCCAAAGACTAGAACTGTAACCATCATCGTGGACGCTCATTCGGATAGCGCCTGCTTCCTCGACAGCTTGAAACCAATCTCAAGACCTGCCTTTGTGAACCTCATATTCAAGCGACAAATCCCTTCTCCACACTGAACACAACACCTGGCCCGACAATACCGCGTCAACACTGGACCATGTAGCCTAAAGTGTGCGCGTCGATCTGGCATACCTCCTGCTTATGAAACGTGCCCAAGCGAGCCTTCAAGCTTGAGCCAAGATGGCTACAGATCTCTTGGATGGGTATATTGGGGCTTGGGGACCTCTTGCGGCCGCATCGTTGGCTGCTTGACCAGCTTGAGGGCCACCTTGGCCGTCTGGGGGAGGCTACATTGGAAGCCCTTCGGCCCTTCGGCCATATTGGGCTGCGGAAAGCCTGACACAGCGAGACTGCGAAAACCACTGAACAATGTTCAGAACATAATTTATGTTGGCCTCTTGGGACCGTCCTGGAGGGCCTCTTGGAGGCCTCCTGGGCCGTACTGAAGCCGTCTTGAGGCCATCTGCTGCAGTGGAGGCATGTTGGGCGGTCTTGGGAACACCTCGGGCACTCTTGGGCCGTCTTTGGAGGCCATTTTAGGCCGTCTTGGGCAGTCTCGGAGGCCACAGTGGGCCATATTTGCAGGCAACATTGGAATATTTATTTGCTTGAACTTTGTTGCTCGTCCGGGTGTGACTGAGAAGCTCGCTGAGAACCAGGCAAGAAGAGGAGGGGAGGAAGAAGAGGATGGATCTTGGGAATCGAACGTTTATGCAGATCCACCTCCGTCCCCCCCTCCCCATGTCTCGCCCGCCCGGCACCGGGACACCGCGGACTCTGGCCGCCCCTCGACAACGCGCGCGGCACGCGGGGGGGCAAGAACCGGGTGGCCTGGCCTGCGCCCGCACGCCCAGAACATCGTCCGACATGATCTGTACAATGCGCGGTCGTGAGGATCCCACCCCTCCCTGGGGGGAACACTCCCTCCTAGACCGAAAGCAGTCGAGACAAAATCGACTAGGACTCGGAAATCTCTGAGAATCGGCGTGTTGTGAGGATGCATCGGGCGCCGCGGCCGTTTCAGAGCGTTCCAGAACGCTTTGAAACGGTCAGAGTGAGGGGGCCGAACGGTCATTCATTGTCCCTGGGCGCGTGGCTGAAATGGGGATCCGTGGTGACGATTCTGCTTGTTGCGTTGTTGTTGTTGTTGGTTGTTGTTGTTGTTGTTGTTGTTGTTGTTGTTGTTGTTGTTGGTTGTTGTCGTCGTCCCCCCCACGACCCAACTCACCCACTCGCGACCCACCCGCGACCCACCCGCGACCCACCCGCGACCCGGCCCGCGACCCACCCACGACCCGGCCCGCGACCCACTCGCGACCGACCTGCGACCCAACCCGCGACGCACCAACATTGCTTTAACCCGAAAATCGGCGCATGCGGCGGGATTCTTCAGAGCCTCGCCAACTGCCGATGTCCCCGCCGCCCCCTCACTCTTATCCGCAACTGCGGGGTGCTACGTATATCTCGATTCCAGCCCGTCCGACCTCCCCCTCGAGAGAATGTTTGCGTTCTGTGGGTCTATGTTTGATGGCCCCGGGGCCCGCAAGGCCGGAGTGAGGGAAGAAGGCGGCGACTCAAGAGAGGCAGCTTCTCTATAGAGTCCAGCAAGTTTGCCTGCATGCAGCGTGAAGGGGGCGGGGGGAGTGGTGAGGCCCGAAAGGAAATCTGGCCTTCACACAACAATTCGGGTCTCAACTGCACAGCTTTTCGGCCCAGCGCTCCTTGAAAAAACTGCGGAAGGGTGGGGGTTCGCGGGCGAAAAAACATATCAGTATCCGCGGCCTCGCAGGCTGGGCCACTGGGCCGCGACCCCGCGGATGCGCGCCACTTTTTCACAAATGCCCCGCGCGGAACGTATCCGTGCGACCGCGTATCCGCGGGATCGCGCCCCGGAATCCATACCGCGAGGGCGTGGATACGGATATGTTTGCTGCTCGTGTCGCCCGAGTCCGAAGAAACCCGCACTCTAAGAACTCGCTGTCGCGGATCTGGGGGCCCCTTGCTGAAGGCCCCTCCCCTGACGGCAACCGGCGCACGCCGCAGGCAGCCCAACAGTCATGTTTAGGTCAGATTGAGCGCGATTGCTGCCGGATTGATTAGGCTGGCTTTCGGCCGCCGATGCGAAATCTAACCTCCCAGGAGCTGCATCCTAAGTCATACACCAGGGGGTTCCTCAAAGCCTGCCTGGTTTATGAGAGCTCCTCTTGGAAGCCTCCGAGGGCCTTCTGAAAAGACCACCGGCCTCTGAGAAGCCCCCCGCGCCCTCTGAAAGTCCACCCCCCTCGCGCGACCCTGAGACCAGTCGATGCGAAAAAAAACGCAACATCGCGAAAAAACACGACCAACTTGCTGGAGCCCATCTCTGCGCGGCGTTTCTCGAGCCGCATCGATCCGCGAGGGTCCCAGGGCACAAGGCAACATCGCCCGCTGTGAAACAACTCCGGGGCCGAGATCTCATGGCGAAGTCCACCCCCCTCGCGTGCTACCCTCCCGTGGGCGCAACCAAGAGAAAAAGCTGCTGGCCAGCATCCCGAGACGAGAAAACTTCCAATATCCGAGAGATCCCCCAAAAATCCTTAGCCTCGAACCCCGGCGGCCATGGTGGGCGCCGCTCAGGAGAGAACTCGGGGGCCACAAAACGGCGTGGTGGCCCACACCGCGTGGTGGGTCGGTGGGAATTTGGAGTAACCGCACTGTTTTGGGGCTCGGGCCGTCCTCCGAGGACGTCTCGGGCGACTGGGGCCGCTGGGGCCCAACACCAGTGCGGTCAGGGAACGCGCGGTGAGGTCGTTGGGGGTTCCGAGGTCACCGCGCGTGGGAGGCGGCCGGGAGGTCTCCAGTGGACAAGGCCCCAAGGGGGGTAAGGGCTCGAACTTGGTGCCCGAACCACCCCCAGGGCCCATCCGCCTCAGCTTTCCACGTCGGACACGTTTTTGACGGTCCTGGGGCTCGACAGCGGTCCCCGCGAACCGACAAGGGCCAAACACATTGTCAAACCCAAAACCTCGAACCTCGTCCCACCTCCTGCTCGCAAAAACCAAATCTGGGCCGCTTCAAAACCCCAGCCGGCTCCAACCGCGCGGTGAGGTCGCTTGGGATCTCAGCGTCACCGCGCGGTCCGTCACCACACGGGGTCTGTATTTTTCGGCGGCGGGTGCCGGCCGATGACCTCACCTTCTCGCTGTGGGCAGCCCCACGTACGCCCCCACGCACTGGTACTGCGTAGCCCCCGTCGAACCTCCACAAGGTCATGTTATCCCAGGGGGAACAGGAGGCGGGCCCAGCCCGATAACCCACATGAGCGACGAAAAATGTAGATGTGATGTGCTTTTTGTACCACAAGCGGTTCTGCTTCGATGCTGGCAGGCCAACATCGGCTAATGCTTCCCTCCGCCCTAGCGCCAGGAGGGCCTGTAGCAGAAAACGGCGTCGGGAAGGGAGGCAGGCAGAAGTGGCAGCAATGAAGCTCACCACTGCTATTCTTCTGTTTTCCCCTCATCGTCCTTCCAGTGTTCCGCCCGCCCACGCGGTGGGCGGGCGTGCACCGAAAAAAAGCACGGGCCTTCTTTGGAGGCACACGTAATCTGTACATACAATCGCTGTGGGATCTCCGCCCCAAGAAAAAAAAGTTCCCCACCAGAAGGGCCAAAGTAAAGGGAACCGACTTCCTCCGGAAGCGGCAGCGAGACGCGGATGGGCGCGTCGCGGGATCTAATCCTCCACGGGGGACGACAAGGGCTGGGACTCAGCCGTCTGCGGGATCTTCGTCCGTGCTGCCCTCCACCGGAATGTGTAGAAGCATTCTGTGGAGACTCCGCTCCACGATGCCCTCCACAAGAGGATTGGGTTGATCGAAGGCAGCATGCGCGACGTCGAGCGCACCGCGCACGTCTGCTCGGGGGAACGCCATCCCCTCCCCATGCCGCTGGCCGCCGCCGCTGGCGGCACCGCTCGACCCTGGGTTGCCTCAGCGCCCGTTTTTCGGGGTACCATCGGCAAGGAAACGAGAGCGCCGCTTGCCCAAGTGCCCCTCCCTGACAGGCGGCACGCGTCGTGCCCCAGTAGCTCCGATGGGGATGCTCTCCGGGGCAAGCTGGCCCGCTGCGGGCGCGGAGGCGCCGCTTCTGCGCGGCTTCAAGCGTCTCTCGCTGACGACGCCACCACCTCGCTTGCCCTTGCCCTTGAGCCCCTTGCCCTCGGCGCCCCGCTTACTCTTCGCGGTCGGGCCCGCGGCGGCGCAGCGCGTGCCCGAGCCCCCCCCCCGCCGCCGTGTCGGAGGCCAACGCGTGGCGAGTTGGCACCTCGCACCGCGTCGGGGCAGCTTCTTCTCCTTCTTCCTCCGCGTCGCCACTGCGATCCTCTGACGAGGCCGACGCGCCTCCGCTGCTCGACCCGGCCCTGTAGCGATGCACGATCGCCTCCGGCGCTCGCGCCGTCGCCTTCTCCCAGCGAGCCTGCCCCTCGCGCGGCTGCTCCGCGCGGTC